AACAGCTCGAGCTTCGGCGTCGCGGGCCAGAGCGCGAGGACCGAGTCCGCCATGCTGCCCACGCTCCCCGGGAACGGCGCGCCGTGCAGCAGCGCGGTGTCGGACCCCGTGCGCGCGTGGCCGGGACTGAAATTGAAATCATGCTGCGGGAGGGGCACCGCCTCCGAGTTCCAGCGGTGGTGGCCCATGGGGGTGGAATTGGCCGCGCGGGAGGAGGGGCGGGAGGTGGGCGTGAGGAGGTGCTCGTCCTCGGGCGGGGGCACGTCGAAGAACGTCGACGACTGTCTTTTGATCGTGAGCTCCGGCCGGCGCGGGCGCGGGCGGCCGAAGCTCGCGCGCCCCTTCTCGCTGCGCTCCGTCGACACCCGGCTGTCCGCGTACCCGTCCCAGTGCCCCCCCTCCGCCGTCTCCGTCTCCGTCCCAGCAGCGGCGGCCCGCCGCGCCCGCCGCCGCCGCAGCCAGCACACGCCCAGCACCGCCCCCGCGATGAGCACCCCGCTCAGCCCGAGCAGCACCGCGCCGATGACCATCGTGGACACCATCCTGTCGTATTCGTTCTCCTTGTCGTCGTGGTAGTCGTGGTAATCGTGGTCGTCGTCGTTAAAGCGAAAAAACACAAAGGGGGGCAGGTCGAAGAGCGGAAAAAGGCACAGCACACGAAGGCAGGAGGCAAAGAAGGGGAATGCAGAGATGGCAGGAAGACGCAGGGCCGCGCCGCCGCCACCGTGGATCACGCCACACCTAGCCGACGTCCCCGTGCCCGTGCAGCCCACGCGCATCGCGACGCGACAGGGGCGAGCGACGTGACACACACGCGGCGACGCCATAGCCCCCGATCATCACTGCGAAATTCGAATTCGGCCTTGATTCCCGCTCCACGCCCCTGCCTGTGGCCCGGTGGCAGTGGCAGTGGATGCGCACGCCCGTCCGTGCACTATCGGACGCGGGCCTGTCTCCGAACCCGGGACGGACGTGCACTGCACGCCTGCCGTGTGTTCGCCCCCCACGCGGCGCCGCGCGTTCAACCCCCACCCCCGCCGGCGCCTATGCAGCGAGCCGCCCGTTCCGCGCCGTTGAAGCTGCTTCCCTCGACCATTTTTTAATAGAATTTTCTCGTCGGAGGCCGCTCCAGTCCACCCCCAGCACATGCCCCTCTTGCTCCCTGCTTGGTGCGTCATGGCCACAATGCACATAAGCCTCAGATTCACCCTGTTGTACAACCAATACTATAGTGAACTGGGTACCGAGACATACTGGGAAGAGAGACATGCCCTATCTATCAATTGATTGGCATATAATTTAGAGAGTCCATAGCTTATGCTAGTGAGAGTACACAGAAAGAAAATGCAGGGCATTTGACTCAGCACAGGTGGTGAAATTAATTATTGTCACATTTTAGACTACTCGTAAAGTTAGAGCTGCTGTATGCCCAACAGTGAATGAATTCAGCTGAAACTTTTCTGGGACATCGGGAGAGGATACTAGATGATATTCAGACCATTACATATGCAACAGGTGCTCCATAGTGTCCATAAATGCTGTTTGTCTCACTTGTCAGTACATACCCAATATGACAACTGAAAGTACAGCGTGCCATCGCGGTCGCCGCCGCCGCCGCCTGTAACGCTGTGCGCTGGACCTTGTCCAGTTTATCTGAATAGGACATGCTTATGGTGTGCCGCCGCCGACTTTGCCTGGACCACCCTTGCTGTGAACAAATGTTATACCCGTGCTTTGTAGTCAGTTTCTCTCAAATTGATTATATTATTATTTTGACCCAAATTAAATATTTCGACCCAAAGGGCGGGACAGGGAGGGAGGGATTGGTGTCACGAGCCAGGAATTCCCTTTTTTGGGAATGCGTGACCCTGCGGAAAAAATCGTGTCTTGCTCCTGGTATGGAGCATCCCTTGTCTCTCCTGCCTGCTTGTGCACGGTCCTTGTCAGTGGATGGAGGTGGACATCCGACATCAAGCAAGATGATGCCCCATCTGTATTTGAAGGTAGCATCTGGACCACACCAGCTGATGGCTGTGGATGCTTCACAAAGTTATGAGTCCATCTCAGATGGTTTGAACTCCTTGTCTGGCCATGTCTCCCATCTCGTTGCGACTGGTCTGTGCATTAGGACACCACATTCAAAGGAGGGGATGATGTCAGGGGGACCTCCTCTTCCACCCCCCCGGAGACATATATAGTTTCGCTACCTAGCAGGTGGACCCTTAGAGTTTCTTTTCTTTGGATCCTCCCCTGCTAGGACCTTGATCTCAGGCCGCCAGGGTTGCGCTTACAAAATGATTCTGTGTGTCAAGTACTGTAGTAATTGGTTTGCACCTAGACAAATTAAACTGTTTTCATTACTCACATAACAAGCATAGCATTGTGGGAATCACCGCTTAAATAGGCAATTGTCACGCATGTCACGGTCGGTCGGTCCCTCATCTGAGGCTTAACTTTTTTTTTTCTCCTTGTGTGTTCCTAAATTTTATTTCTGCTTCCCCCTTACCCCTATCAATCCTACAACTCCACATTAATTTTTAGAAGCAATGATGATGGCCACAGTGAGGGCCCACGCCGGGAAGGCAATGACGGTGGTAGTGTCCATTCAGACCATTCTGTTGCGGGTGTAGGGGGATCACTTAGATTCTGTCAGGCTTCGGGCCGGGCTGTACAAGGCTTCTGCTAAGAATGCGCACCTGGAACAGAACAGACAAATTGAGGGTAGACTTGAACCGAAAGGGCCCATTAACTCGGTCCCTGGTTGTTGTCGGTGGGCGAAGGTTCGAATTAGGTCGTTTTGGGCCGATGGGTTGGCAATTCCTCCTAGTGATGGCCAGGTTTAGTTCGGGTTTTCGGTTCGAACCCAAACTTAACCGGACCGAACCGAGGTTTAGCGTTCCACCAAAGGCCTTTCCAAACCGAACCGGAGCTCGGGTTTGGGCTTTTTTGGCCTAAAAAGGCAGGTTTGGGGCCAGTTCGAACCAGGGTTCGGCGTTTAGGTTCGCCAAATTCGGGTTTTGAAACAAACCGGCAGTGCGGGGTTCGGCCACAATGAGCCAAGAACTGGACTGAACCGGACTTGGCCATCACTAATTCCTCCTTGTATGGAGAGAAGCGGTACTTTCGATGATCTAAGCGATAGAGTACATGGTACTACACTAGTATCGCACTTTATATATGTGGGCCCGCAAAGGGGTGATTGGACACCCTAGCCTCTTCTGCTCCTCCTCACCCCGTTCCTGGCCGCAGAGGGGACGATGTGTTGAGTTGGGCTCAGCAACGGCTTGACGCATCATTCTCGGTCACATGCTTCCCATGTGTGCATTCCATCCCTAATCCTTCGTCATATAAAAGCCATATCTAGTATCTACAGGTCGTACTTGTTCGGCTACTATCATCTATTCTCCTGGCTAAACCCCTATTTCTTTGTGCTCCTCAGACCACCCGCAGCCGGACGACCCGACAACTCGAGACAGCTCAAGCCCGATGCTGACACTCCACAGGAACTCACATGGATCCTTCCTAATTTTAGATTTTGGCACCAATAATGTCATATTAACATTTTAAAAAGTGTGGTGAATTATATAAAATGATATAATATCATCAAGAGATCTGATATTGACCAAAAGAAGACTACAAGAATACAAAATCGTGCCAACTACAACAATAAGTTAATAACTTCAACAGGGCATATGTCAATTTTCAAGGCATGCAGGCATGGAACAAGAACACACAAATTTATGCTTAATTGGCACGTGGGGTGACAGTAGGCACCCAGGTCGGAGGGATACACTGGGAGTAATAGATGTTGCGCTCGAAGCAGATTGATCCATCCACACACACTAAAACACAGCATCAGTAAATACTCAACTTAAATTGCAGGCTGAAGCGTGTGGCCACTTACCAGTTTCGCCAGTGTAGCCAATTCCACCACACTGTCCGTACATCTGCTGGACCGCGAAGGCAGGCAGACCGAGGGCAAGGAGAGAGCAGAGGCTTTGGAATCGCATCAGGACAATTTTGCGAAATGGCCTGGTTTGCGATGAAATATATAGCTCATTGCGGCGAATCGTCGCATGGGTATCGGTGGAAGGTGTTGAATGCGGCGCGTCATCCTGTGCGGACTCTGTTGTGCAGGTGAAACCGTCAACAAAACGAACATCCACACGTGAGCCGGTTGGTTCACTTCTCTTCGGATCCCCGATCACGCCATCACTCAATGAATGAACGGCCAAGGACTGGAATCGGGCTCAAAGCTCCCACGACGGCTCGTGCGGTACCGAAGGACGGGGAGGACGGCGTGCCAAGAGCATAACGCTGCCAGGAACAATGTTGAGAATCGTTGTCAGCCAAGCTTCTCGATCCGACCCTTATCGCTCTATGAATAGCCTGAAGCAGTATGGAATGATCCAGCTTTCGCAGTCGACCCCGCGGCAATGGGCATACAGTATACCTTTCTGGCCTGGACGAAAGTTGCCCTCACCAGTCCGACCCTCTTGCGATGATTCCCCGCATCGCAAACTATATCACTGGCAACCCAAGTCCAGGCTCAGACACCTGAGAGCCAACATGCACGTCTTTCTCCTCCTCGTTGCACTTGTCATATCCGCATCCGCGGGCACCGCTCCGCTGTGGTCACAATGTGGCGGCATAGGATACACAGGAGACACGGGTATGGCATTCGTTACCCTACAACGCAGGACGCTCACATGGCAGACAGAATGTGTGGACGGCGCATTTTGCGTGTATTATAACCCATACTACTCGCAATGCCATGTCGACTGGGGTAATTCTGCCAGTGCGGGTGCAACTGCGACATAGTAAGGTGTGTTGCTGGAAACATGATGGTCGAATGGCAGCTAACCTATGACAGCCGATGGGCGAAGAACAACCATTTCATGACATACTTAGTCGCGGCTTCTTGAAGTATTATGTCGGCAGAGCGTTGTGAATCAATCATTATTGGGAGGAAGCTACAATACACACACACACACACACATTCACCCCCGAGCTTTGACTGCGGCGGCATGCTGGCCAATCATCGCGTACACTGGGTCGCTGGGGTATATGGCATACCCATCATTCGGCGACGCGCCACCATTCGCTAGGTTCGAGCCTGCTTGCCTATCGATCGTGATGGTCAACAGCAGCCCCGACACCGGAAGTAGCACCTACCACACAAGATCCCCCGTCAGCCCGCTGCTCAGAACCGTTGAGTACCACGTTGCGTAGTTCCCTGCGCGCGTCGTTCCTGAGTTGGTTAGCCCGAACTCTTCCATGAGTACGGGCTTCTTAGTGCTGTTCATTACTGCCGCGTGGTCGTTGATCCATTGCTGGCCCCAGGCAACGTCGCCGGTGCCGGAGTGACCCCATGCATCCTGAATGCTCATGAACAAAAAGATTTTTTTGCTGAGGAACCATCACATACTGGATACATGTGGAACGTCCCGAAGTCGAGAGAGCTGATGAGCATGTTTGCCGCAAAGTCAACCCCTGCCGATCCCCTTCATAAGTTAATTCAAGTTGCTCAATCATGTGTGAAGGAATGGACGCACTGGTAGACGTAGTCGTAGTCGTGGCTTCCAGGCTGGTTGAAGAAACCCTCGTCGCCGATGGCCACGAGATGGTTCTTGTCAATACTCTTGATATACGACGATATATCAGCAGCCCATGTGGTTATTGTCGTCGTATTGCATGTTGCAGAAGCGACGCTAGAAGGACAGGTCAACGTTTGGATACGGAATATAAATCGGGACAAACCTCGTGCTTCCCGCGCATCTGGGCTCGTTCGCTTCAAAAAGATGAGTGCCTGGGATCCGAGAGCCAAGGCATTCACTGACCAAGCTCCCACGCCTGCACAAGGATGAGATGGACATGCAGACAAAATGCACAAGACCATATTGCACGCACCATAATAGTCGGCTCGTTGAGGTATCTGGTCACAATCGCCTGGATGTAGCTTTTGTATGCCGCCTGAAATGGCTGACGTCAAGACGGGCTCGGACTGGTATCGAGCGGCGTACGATGGTAGTCGGGTTCGTATAGAAAGTATCGTGCGGCAGGCCAGTCCCGAGAAGTTGATTCGTATAAACATCCATTCCGCCAAAGTCCGACCAGTTGTTCGTCAGTGCGACAATGAGGCGGATTCCGTGTGCCTTTGCCGCCGCGACGAGAGTGTCTTGCGCCCGAGTATCAGCTGTTGGCCAAGCGAGGAATGGGGAACGCTCACCAAAAGCGCCGAGGCCGTTCGCGCCGGTATTCACCGTCGCGGTCTTGCCGTTCCAGAGGTGGAAATAGATCCCGCTCGCGCTCGTCACCTCGTTGAAGCCCATCGTCCGGGTAACAGTCGCGCCGGAGTTTGCGATGTCGGCGAACGCCTGGTTGATATCGGCCGCATTGTATCCCAAGAGCGCGGGCCAGTACGCGTTGGAGCTGTTGGACCGTAAGTTATACTTCGTGTATACTAACAACAAAACAGACCCAACGACGGTGAACGGCGACCCGTTCAATGTGAAGCGCGTGCCGGAGGTTTTGACAAAGCCAGTTTGGGCAGGCTGTGACGCTGACGCGCTCGCAGAGGAGCTTGCTCGGGTGCTCGAGCTGGAGCTTTTCACCGTCGTGGACGAGCTCGCGCTGGATTTCGTTGCGCTGCTGACGGTTGTTGTGCCAGTTGACGGGACACATTGGTAGTAATAGTCATTGAGGACTGTGCAAGTTGTGCCAGCGACACAAACTGTAGAGTTAAGTGAGAATACGGTTGAATGCGACACCATACGAGCGACGCACCTGTGTCTCCAGAGTAGTTAATGCCGCCACATTGGCCCCAGACGTCGACTGCGACCGCAGCCGATACCCATACCAGGAGAGGAAGAAGGTCCTGTGAACGCATAATGCTGCAAAGCTAGACAAGACGACACAACGCACATATATGTCCAGCTCCGGGTAATTCTCGCGTCAGCGTCGGAGTTGGGTCGCGGTCATGAGCGCGGTAGTCAGCATTCGCGGTGCCAATAGGTGTTGGGCACGATAGCGGGCGCCGTATGCCTTGCGCTGCTACGCCAGTGGCTGGTGGTCCAAAGTGTTCGAAGGGACATGGACGTTTGCGTCAAAAGAGTAACGCGTCAATTTGATCCGAGTCACACCGCGCTGCTTCTTTTCTTACGCCATCATGACGGAGGCTATGGGCACACAACGACGGCAACGACGGGGGCGATAGGTGGGACCCGTGGACTCCAGCCTTCACGACACATGAAGTCCCGACTTTATGCCACCGGGAGGCCACTCTGTTGCCATCAGGCCTGAAACTTGGCGGAAGAAAAATTGTTTTCTGCGAGCACCTTCCCGGACACCGGCTATCTATGATGACACCGGAGCGCCACATCATTGACCCGCCCCCGATTTATCGCATATCGGTCAGCGACGGCGTACTTAGTGCTCAAAGCCCCACCCACTCGTCAACTCCGTGACCATAATGCTGGATTCCATCCCCCCAATAACCCTCCACTGGCTGAACGGCAGCCGCTCGCAGCGCATCCTTTGGCTCCTTGAGGACTCAGGAGCTCCACCTGCCATACACACTCAAGACCTACCAGCGCGACCCGCTCACGCGCCGTGGCGATCCAACCCTCAAATCGGTCTCACCCCTTGGGAAGTACCCTGTCATTGTTGTTGGCAACGCTGTGCTCGTGGAGCATTTCGGCGGCCGGGCCGACGCACCGGGACTCGTGCCGCCGCGCTGGGCCGCGGGACAGGAGGGCGCCGCAGGCGGGGAAACTGCGGCACGGCTGCGATACCGGCATTTGCTGCATTATGCCGAGGGTTCCCTGATGCCGCTGTTGGTTGTGAATATGATTGTCACTAGTGAGTTATCCTGCTTGTGGTGATGTTCTCAGTTCAGGACTGAGACCGTACAGACGTTCAGGCGCCAGAGGTTACGGCGACGATCCAGAAGGGATACACGGAGCCGAACCTCATGTCACACTTCCAATTCATCGAGGGCTTACTGTCGGACGGCGGCCATACCTTTGCGGATCGACCCTTACCTGCGAGTTGCCTTGTGAATGAGTCTGATACATGTACTTACAACAACGGCTTGCAGGTGCAGATATTCTTATCAGCTTCCCTCTCATCGTCGCTGTCAAGGGCAAAGGTATTCGCTCCCTCAGGGATGAACTTGACTTGAAATTTGAATGTTCACAGGCCATCGACCGAACGTGCTCACTCTGGACGCACATCCACACATCTTTGCCTATCATAGCCCATGTGGAGCTCATTCAGCAGGAGGCAGGTTATCAGCGTGCGGTGAGCAAGATAGTGAGCGTCCTCGGAGAGAACAAGGTCACGCCTGAAGATGACTAGATACCTACTGTATTACTAGTAGATATATTGATTGAATGCAATCTAGTCTTACGGAGACTTGTAGCTTATCAAGATGGTCATCTGCTACTTCAAGTTGATTTTTATAGCGCCAATCTACTGAAGTATTTTTGGATTACCTCCCAGATACATGATTCTCGCCTCTATAGAAGACCTGAACCATCCAGCGTTGTCCAAATCTTCATTTTTGCGTTGGCCGTTTGACTTGATACAGATATGCGCGCTCGCCGAGCACGAGCAGGGCCGCCAGTCCCCGCCACACATCCGGCGCATCAGTCCGATCACCGTTACGTATTCTCCTCATTCTTGCCTCTTCCCATCATCATCATCGCGTCTCCACGACGGACATCCGACCCAGCACCCATGACCCCGGCACTGACGACTGTGGGTCCGTCCTGGGAACCCCATCGCTCGCTTGACCTCCCGCCACGTCGACACCCAAATGCTCTGCGCGCTCCCTCTTTTCACCCTCGCAAGTGTCGCTGCGGGACTCGCCGCCCATGGTGCACAACCTAAACATGGCCAAGCGAAGCACCATGTGCTAGTGGGCAATTTCGGAAGGTACGTCATCCAGCTTTGCTCTCGTATGCCGCTCATTAGGTGCCAGCGAGTACAACGTCACACTCATGCTGGACGGCACACAGGATGTCGGGCTTGGATTCCTCTACGCGCTCGAAATTGACACGGAGAAGAAGAGTTTGGAGCTGGTCAAGACCTCCCCCGCTGCTGCCGCCCACCCGTGGCTGTCTGTCAACGTGCGTGGCCGCCTTTTTCCGTCTTTCCCTGACTCACTCTGTCCGCAGCGCAAAGCGGGGGTCGTCTACGGCTCAGGCTGGTCGAAGCCCGTCAACGGAACGAGGACATTTAGCTCTTACGCCATCCAGCCCGACTATTCCGTGTCGCTGCTCAACACCGTCGTTTCCTGTGGCACGAAACCGATCGCCAACGACTTCGTCCCTGAAGCAGGAGAGCATGGCGTCCTCTACGGGCTGGATTTTGTGAATCCGTGTGGTGAGGCGTGGGCGGTGTCGAAAAACGGGGCATTGGAGCGCCAGGTGCAGGCGCTGGGCTTTGAGGAAGGGTCGACGCTGCATGGGTTCGTGACGACACCGGATTTGAAGTACATGTACATCATGGTGCGTGTTGGTCATTGTTTCTGATCGCTCTATGTATCCACAGAACTTGGGCGGCAACAACGTCCACGGATACTCTCTCTTCCTCTCGAACGGCACACTGTCCTCACTCGCGCTCTACCCGCCCTCCGAAGTCGCAGCTGGCCCACGCCACGCCGTCATCTCTCCGTCAGGCGCCTACCTCTACCTGATCGACGAAGAAGGCCTCAGAGTTGACCAGTTCGCCATCTCTCAATCAAGAGGCGCACTCGAATTCACCTCGGTCTCGCTTGCTGTAACGCCCTTCGGCCTCGCGCCTGCCAACGCAAGTTTATACTGGGGCGATGAAATCGTCATCTCTTCTGATGGTCGCACGCTCTATGCCAGCACGCGCTCGCGTGTTGCTGGCCCAACCACACCAGGCTACATCTCTGGCTGGGCGCTTGACGCAACGGGCGCGCTTGTGTCGCAGGACCCGCTGTTCGTCAAGGGCACCCCGGGCGCCGGCGGCACGAGCAATATTCTCAGCGTGTCGCCATGGGGTGATGCGAGCAAGGACATGCTCGTTCTCACAGACCAAGACCAGGACTTTGTCGCGCTGTATGAGCTGCAGGGAAGGGAACTTGTGCTTCTCGACCGCGTCAAGTATGTAGCAGTTTTTCTGAGTCCCCTCGCGGATCCAGCGGCTTATCGATCTTTCGTAGTATCACGGGCGTCAACTGCTGTTCGGGGTCAGTGTGGCTGGATTGACCTGCAAAGATGTACACGTGTCGAGGTTAAAACAATGACCGGTTGTGTCGCCTTCCGGATGCCGCCCGGCTCCCGAATGCTGGATTCTAAGAAGTCTCGGAAGGCCACGGCCATCACCGCATTGGTGTTATCGCCAGCCTTATGAGGAGGCTTCGCCGGTAGGTGCTTTGTTTGCACGGCTACACGCCTTCACCTTCGCAGTTATGTTCATACCGGAGTGCTGCATTCAGAGGATAAGGGGTCCGCGATAACGAGCGACGCACAAAAGAAGTTGGATGTCGCCCTGCTTTTGCAAGCTCCGGGCAACGAGCATGCGCGTGCCTTCACGGGTGTTGGGGTTTCTGACGCCGGGACCAGTAGATGCAGAGCGCCATCACGGGCCCTGGCGCACCCCGCGCGCTCAAAAGTGATCCGCTCGCCGCATCATGGGCCATGGTGGCGACCAACTTGGAAGTGCGGCGCGTGGTCCTCCGCTCCTGCCGACCTACCTTCTCGACGTCGGAGTGCGAGCGCGCTGTCATGACTCATCCCGCCAGCGGCCCACGCCTCCCTCTGCGGGTGTAGGTTCTTTCCGAATTCTTCGTCAACATCAAGTTGTTGACCGTATATATAGAGGACGCTCGGCCTGGTGGTAGAAACTACCTCTTATATTGCGACTGATGGCATTTAGTGTCCCGGTCGAGCTGCTCTACAGCACCGAGCTCCGCTTCCGCGTCGAGCCTGCAGCAATGTCGCCAAACAACTTCGTCGTGGATATTGCGCCAACCGACATCATGACACCTCAGCACTTCGACGTTATGCAGAGCGGAACTCACCTACAGATCCGAACGGTCCAGGATGCATTTGGACTGTCGGTGGTTCTCTCCGCCACAACGGACCGGGTTGGGCCGGCATGTGCGGATGACTGGTTGCACGTGAACGTCGGTGGCTTCCCGTCTTCAAGTCCGCTTGCAGACATTCGGCGGTTTTCTGACTGTGCGTCCAGTACGAATTTAAAGACCAAGGTATTTGTCTGCTCACCGTCCGTTTTGCAGGGCTCGATGTCACGGTGCCTCTCGCAGCTTCATCGGAATGCCTCCCAGGGAGTCAAGGTGCTGGAGGCTCGATACCGTTTTGTGAATTTGAAGGTGCGGGCGGTTATAAATCCATCCGGTGCTTACCGGGCAATTAGACTCGGGTGCGTTCCAGCACGACAAAAATACTAGCTATCTGTCGCATTTCGCCATTGGTAGGGAGCCAAATCATATGTTAAATTTATGTAGGCGCCGCTGACAATTTGGTCCCAGATCCTTCAGGTTTTCTGGATGTGAATGCCTTCCTGCCGACGCCGAGTTGGACGTCCCCGTCCACTGCGAGTAGTGTCCTGGACAACGACGCTTTCGCATCCCCGGGACAATCAAACGCCAGACTGCCCAAGGACTTCCCGTGCACGGTTGGCTGCGCGCGGCGATTCTCGCGGAAGCACGACCGGTTCCGCCACGAGGTTACGCAGCACGGACGGCGCGCCACGTGGCGATGTGCCACGTGCGCCCGGTTGTTCTCGACGGCAGCGACGCTTGGACGGCATAAATGCAAGCTCCGTGTATTAGGGTAAAATGGTTGTTTAGACCAATGGCATGCATATATTGTCAGCGTACTTGTCAGGCAAAAGATAATCGTCAAACCACCGGCACAAGCTCGTGCTCAGTCAGCCAGGCCAGCAGGTGCTCCCACCGGCCCCCGTCTTGTCCGCCGGAAATACGTCGCGCACCCTGCCAGTATTATACTGTTCAGATCATATATTGATACATATAATCATAGCATTCATGGGGAAACAGGCATAATGTGTAGGATATTCTATTATATTAAATTTTAGCAGTGAAGGCCTTAAGTCATAAGCCCTTACATAAGGGCTTACATTACTTAAGGCTTAATTGGTGCCTGTCAGGAGCCTTAAGGGCTTAATGTCACATGTCACATCACACAAACTATTTTAAAACAACTGAGATGCCTTATCTTACTAGTGAAACTTGATATACAAGGGAAAAGCAGTTTATTCCAGAGTTTTTTTCACAAAATCTTCAAGCATAACTTGATATATGGGCCAGGCTTGTGGCTGCAATACATACTACAACTGACCTACAGAGGGGTAGAGCTTCTACCAGTAATTCCAGCTAGTATGTGGGTAGGGGAGAGCATGATGTCAGCCTAATTGCGGTGGATCATTAGCTGTAGCTGCACAGAGGGCTTTCTGAAAATTTCCTTTTTAGGCAATTAAGTGCTTAAGCCCTATGGCTTATTTAAGGGCTTAAGGCTTACTTAAGGCTTAATCGATTTTGGAGCCCCAAATTAAGGGCTTATGAACATCACTGAATTTTAGGACCCCAAACGACTTGTGGCCGTTTGCTCACATGCAAACAGCTGTAAGGGCAACCCTGGAGACTCCGACGAAAGCCTAGCAGGGGAGGATCCAAAGCGTGAATAAGACTACAGGAAATACACGGAGGGACCGACCTAGCAGGGGAGGATCCAAAGAGAAGAAACTCTAAGGGTCCGCCTGCTAGGGCGCCAACTATATACTGGTCGTCCGTAACTGCCGACGTAGAGCGCAGAAGGCCTGAGCGGCGTCGCAGGCTCTGTCCCAAGGTGATCGTTGGGAGGGTCTTGACGGATCGGTGATTGTGCGGGCGAAGGAGGCCGTGGACGATGGTCGGGGTGGGTCGGAGTGTCCGAGGGGGCGCCGGTCGGATGCGCCTCGGATGCGTTCGGAGGGTCCGAAGGAGGCCGAAGCGGGGGTTCCCCCTGACAACAGCTGTCAACTCGATTCACACCGGTGTGCAACTCGTATTAATAACTCTTCAAATCAAGTTGATACGAGTTGGTCACACTGCCTTGGCTCAACTTACACCCAACACTGATGTTGTTGCCATGGCGACTACTGATGTGATCAAAAGTGGCGCATAAATTCTTTTTTGTTTGATTTCAGGCAAATTTTAAGAACCAGTTTTTTGGTCAATGTGAGTGCTGACACTTAATCAAGATAGTATGCTTGTTCCATCTACAGCGAAGTCCTCCTAGTGCCCCAGGCTGCCGTACTGTGTTTGCTGAAGTATTGGGTTCGCGAAACCCGAGCCATCGCCGGCTGGATGACATTAGCGCCGGACCGCCATCATCGACGCAGAGCGTCGGGATTGTTCTACAAGATTCCATTGACTCATTAGCTAGAACTTGCTAGAGTAGTATACGTACTACTGTGTTACTCTGTAGTGGACATTGATCTTCCTCCTTTTCCTTCAACAGTGTTGGAAGAAATAAATTGCTAGTATTATAAGTGTTGTGTGGTGGTTGCCTGTTCAACGCGGGCGCTGACTCGTAAACAAGAGGAGGGCCCAAGGGGGGCGCAAGATGCCTATCACGGCTATGGGGCAGGGGGGGGGGAGGGTCCAGAGCCTAGAAAAAAAACTTTTGTGTTTGGTGTAGGGATGCTTCAAGAGGTACTTAGGAGGCCTTAGGAGGCCTTTCATATGTAGATCTTCCATGTTAAATGCCATTTTATACCTTTGAATGCAGTGAAACCCAGTTTTTTTGGTGAAGTGACTAAACTTGTCACAGTCTTTGATAGCATCAACATATCATCATGATGCAAGAAGCAATACAACTTTATATGAAAGTTCATTTAAAGGCATAGGAACATTATAATAGCCTAGTTACAATTTAATTTAATCACATTTTCCATTTTCAAGACCTCTATCGATCATTTTGATGCGATTTTGATCGCATCAGTCACGTTTTCGTGGGAGATCATTACTATATAAGGCAGGAGGGGGGAGGGGGGGGGTCCAGTGGGCGCAAAAAAAAACTTTCAGCCCTATGTATGTAATTTCCACCTTGCGCCCCCCTTGGGAGGGCCTTGGAGTTACTTTTGGTCTAATCGTCTGGGCAATTTCGGTCCTGAATCGGACCTGACTCCTGATTCCCAGCGGGAATGGTGGGCAACTGAGGGCGCCCGGCGCATGACGTGCACAATTGTGCAGGTCTCTAGCGTCGGTGGTTGCATGTTCGAAGCAGGCTCAGACTAATAGGATGTTCTCGTGTATCATTTTTCACGGGCAAACAGGCGCCAAGGGACGATCTTTGCAACGACGTACATTCCACGCGGGTGGAAAACATTAAGAGGTAACTAAGATAACTCCGCCCTCGATTTCCCGGCGAGGCTAGCGCGCGAAGGGGTACGCGTCCTTCTCCCTGTCGCGCGACGCGTGCTTGTAGCGCTGCGGCGCGAGGTCCGCCGCGTACAGCGCCGGCTGGGCACGTGTCGACTGGGCGCGCGAGATGGACGACGCGGCGTACGACGACGGCGCGGCCGCGGTCGGGGCGTCGGTGGAGATGCTGATGGCCGAGCCCTCCACGGAGACGTCGTCGAACTCGGCCTGCAGCCCCGCGCCGCGCGCCGCGAGGTACGCGTTCGGGGGCGCCGCGGCGACGGCCGGCCCGGCTCCGGGCGCGGCGGCCTTCTCGGGGTCGTGGCCGCCGCCGGGCTGCCGGACCATGCGGCTGCGGTGGAACGTGACGCTGCGCTGCACGTCGGCGCGCGCACGGGCCCGGCGGCGGAGGACGAAGAGCGCGGTGCCGATGACCAGAAGGATGAGCAGAACGCCGGCGACGATGCCGCCGATGACGGCGGGTTTGAGCGCGGGGCCGGGGAGCGCGGAGGCGGACGGGGAGGGGAGGGACGGGAGCGTTGAGCTGCTGCTGCGAGACGGGGGTGAGAATCGAGCGGTGGGAAGGAACGGCAGGGCGCACCTGCTGAAACCGGCCTGCGCGGCGTCGCCGACGTCGTCACGGTCGTTGGTGGACTCGATGCTGCGTGACAGGGGTGAGGCAGAGGGACACCGCGAGCGGGACAACGCACTTGTTGATTCCGGTCGGCGTCACCGTGAACAGCTTGCTCTGCGCGAACACGCGGAGCGGGTCGTCTCTGCACCCCAATCAGCGCTCTCCCCTGTGTTCGGATGAGAACTACGCACGGGTCGACGGCCGATATGAAGAACGTCCTGCACCCGCACGCTCAGCCTCCCCTCACAAGAGAACGAGCACACGCACCCAATCGCGAGCGGGACATTCATCACCCCGCGGCCCGTGCTCGCGGGGACGTCCACGACGCCCGGGACGAGCGTCGTCGCCCCGCCCACGGGCCGGTTCACCATGAGCGCGAACCGGGGCGGGTCGCCCGCGTCCTGCGCCGCCGACCACGCGACGGGCACCGTGCCGCTCCCGACGAACGCGAGCCCGTCCGACTTGGGCGTGTGCACCTTCATTGCGCCGACCACATCCGCCAGGGGCATGAAAAGAAGGAGGAGAAAAGCATAGAAAAGCATTCCGGAGCCAGCCCGGGGAGAACGAACGGAACGGGGCCCGAAGGGGGGAAGGGAGATGGTGGGCGGAGGGAGGGAGGCTCGCTCCCCGCGACACACGACACAGCGACGGCCAAGCGCATCCCCGTCCCACGCACACGACCGTCGACAGCAACGCGTGGCGGTGTCCTTGGCGACCGCGCAACCGCGCCGATCCTGCTGATGCCAGGGCTCGCGTCACATGCCCGGGCGGATCTCCCACGCAACGCGCGTGGGCCTGGGATTCGGAATTGCGCCAGTGGCGTCGAGATGGCGAGTTCGCGAACTGGCTGGCCGGAAAAAAAGGGGACAGAAATTCTAGTGTTGGCCTGTTATAATGATATCACAAGGTATACTAGACAGGGCTCGGAGCTTTGAATATTACTTGAATAAACTGATTTTTTAATTATAAAAGAAATCCCACTAATTATAGAATAGGTGCACAATAACCCTGATAAATATCTGGTCTACTATGATCTACACAGGGAAAATTCAAAACTTTCTTTTCCCATTAAAAGATGAATTTAATGTAAACATTTTAATTCTTCTTTCTATAGGGAAGAAAGATCATATATCTGAATTAGCATAAATAGTTGCTTTTCAAAGATATTTCCCTTGTATGGAAAGGACCTGTTTCAGGAAAAACTGAAATGTCAATTGAAAGTTCATCTTTTCAATACAGATTTGTATACCTATTTCTTTGTCGTAGAAAGGAAATGTTTTTATTTTTTTCACAAAGAAGCTATTTATATTCATGTTTTCATGTCAATGAAAATAACATCTTTATATCTTTGGCAGAAAGGACATCATTTGTTTCCCCTTTCATACAAGAACAAAGAGCATCTTTCTGAAAAAGTCAGAAAGATGATGTTTCCTTACCCCTTTCATGTGATCAAAAAGCACACCTTTCTCTTTGTCTTGAAAGATGTTCTTTCTATCTGCTAACAAAGGTGCATATAAAGAAGACCTTTCTAAAAATGGCAGAAATATCATCTTTTATACCACAAATAAAGAGGAATATAAACCACATATTTTTGAAATGAGTGAAAATATATTCTTTATAGTACACAGAAAGGGGTATTCAAAGCCATATGGAAAGGTTAGCTTTTCAATAACTTTTCCATCCCTGTGAAAGACATTCTTTTTGTTCTTACAGAAAGCTTGATAAAGAAGAGTCATTTATGAAATAATTAATATATCATATTTCTTGGTTGAGGAAACATGTATCTAAATATGTACATTCAATACATGTTTAAAAGGGAAAAGAAATTTTTGAATTTCCCGTGTGCTACATAGATTGCAATACAAGTCAGTAAACTTTAGATACTTACTCATTGATTTGTGGGAAAATTACGAGCACTTAGTACATATCGAGGTGTCAGCATGGCAAATAGCCCCAGATATAATGTTTTTATGGTACTGGGTGCAATATATCATGTACAGCTTTGTATCCCAATTAGTTTTAGTCACATTTTACAGCTTTTGATACCAATTTGGGGTTTTAACAGCAGTAACTCCACAAATGGAAATGTGGAGCAAATGAATCGCTAAGGCCTGTGCCAAACATCTGCATACATTCACATAACATGTGCTTAATATAAGAGTAATAGTTGTTCTAGAAACTCTTCTCTCTGATTTTACAACACTTATAACTGGGTATTGTAAGGGCAACCCCAGAGGCCTGAGATCAAGGTCCACTGGTATAATACATACATTTATTCCTAATTACTTGGGGAGCTTTTCCCTGATGCTTTAGTGATGTCTAGAGCCAGGCCCAAGCCCAAGCCCAAGCCCAAGCCCCCGGCCGTGGCAAGCCCCACCCCAGGGCCAGTACTTTTTTTCCCATTCTTTTCACTGGTTTAACAGAAAAGAAAACAATTAATCTGGCAATTTAATCTTTTGTTATTTTCTTGGCAAGAGCAGTGCACATGCACCTGGACACACTGCAAACTTAAAGGCAGAGTGGCAAAAGACTAGTTGCTAGACTGTATTTATATATGGAACAGCAGACCAAGCATGTCCTGCCATGCCACATGGTCCTATACACCGTGCTTACTGTGCAGGAGAAAAGTCAGCCCTTTGGCATTCTTGTGGCATAGATGCTCCAATCTAGGAAGCTTATTTTTACTATATATTTCTTTCCAGTTGAAGCTGTGTGCGCCCAAATGACTGGCCGCTGCATGCACAGTCGTCCGCAATAATAGCACAGTATTTACATAGCCACCTGTATTATATTTAAGCCAGAATGTGATTCGTTGCCCGTTGCACGTTTGCAACGGGTTCCCTACTCATCTGGCGACTTGAAATCCAACACAAACACGCAGTATAACCCTTCAAACGACCACTCAGGCCTGCTAATCGTCTGGGGCGCCGTTTTATCGCTGATATACAATTGACGCTCGAATCATTCTTCATCTCATCTCTAATAACTGATGACTCCTCCCATGTTTCCTTTGCCAAGCTTAATGACTCGAACTATGCTTCCTGGGCTTTTATGATGGAAGCCCATCTTACATCCAAGGAGCTGTTTGATGGACTTGTGGAGATCACTGTAGACGTCCTCGACCGCACTGGGGCTGCACGTCCTCAAACTGACATTGATGCTGATATCGAGAAGAAGAGGAAGGCGAGGTCGGTGAAGAAGATGAACCAGGCACGTGCAGAGATGATTTTGCACGTGGAGCCGAGCCAGTTCGCGCATATGCGCTCAAAGGATCCTCTTGATGTATGGCTGGACCTTAAAGCTGTGCATTGCGCTCGTGGTTTTGTTGCAGGCTTGACGCAGAGAAAGAAGTTTCTTGCAATGAAGATGACAAAGGGGCAGAGCATGACCAGCTGGATTGGGAAGGTCAATGAGCAGGCGTTCAAGATGGGAGAGGCAGACATTAGTGTCTCCGAGGACGATCTAATTTTGGCCATCACAAGTGGTCTTCCACCGGCATATGCAAGCACTATTGCCACACTCGACACCATTCTTCTGGTGCCACGCACGCTAGACTATGTCATTGCTTTGCTGCTTTCAGCAGAGACTCAAGTTGGCAGCAATGCTTTCCCACCTACCTCTTGCACAGGCAATACAATGATCCTGGACACCTGAAGCGGAATTGTCCTTATCTATGAAGCACAAGGCAGCTGGTGGATTTGCCCATGCTGCCATTGAACTAAATTCAGATTCAGAAGCAGAGTGGTAATTTCCTGAGCTTGCGGGGGTGTGTTGTAAATCAAGCTGCGCGCACCCAAATTACTGGCCGCTGCATGCACAGTCATCCGCAATGATAGCACAGTATTTACACAGCCACATGTATGGTATTTAAGCCAGAATGTGTTCCGTTGCCCATTGCGCGTTTGCAACGGGTTCCCTACTCATCTGGCGACTTGAAATCCAACAGTTGCCACCTACTTAAGCTCTGTTTTCCAATAATAAGGATGGCCATCTTGTGAGATTACATTGCATATACTGTTATGTGTGATATCAGCATAGTTATGACTTCTGTATCTAGCCCTGTGCCCTGTGCCCTATATGCTGGCAAGTGTGGCTGGTGCTTCACTGCATTGAGCTTGGTTCACCACTGGGTTCGCCACTGTACATGGTTGTTCAGCCTCTGTGCAATGGTTGGTATTTCCCTTGCCACTTTTTTTTTGTTCATTTAATTGCAGTATGGGCTGGTAGGTTTAGGAGATGGGACAATGTCTGGGCTATGTTGTGGATTGTACTGCCATTTGTTCAGTGTTGACCTGTGAGCACTGAGATTGCACTGCATATACTTCCTGCCATGTGTGATATCAGCGTAGTTCTGATTTCTATATCCAGCCTTACTCTGGGATGTGCTTGTATGGTACGCACAGGGGTCGAATAAGCTTGTATTTTTCAACAGACCCAAGGGTCAGCCTGTAATGTACGAACAATCACTCCGGGCCCACCCGTTCGACACGGGCCGGTGACAGAAACTCATTGTGTTTTTTTTTCAGTGTCGTAGCTTTCCTGATGGGAGTGAAGAGCCGCTAAGTGGCGGGTGCCACACAGTGTAACTGCCCGTGAACATGGCATGCAGGACAATCAAGTATGTGAGGAAAACAAATTTTGCCCTGGGGATCTCTTCTGATGTAAGACAAGACAAAAGACGCGTGTTCTTCCTTTCTCTGTGCCACGCAACACGGCCGCCTGCGGGGTCACCGCCGGCTTGTCCTCGTCCTCCTCGTCGCCGGCATGGGCACAAGCATCGTCTCCGCAAAGCTGAACGACGGCGCGGGCCAGTGTGTGCCGTCCTTCTCCTCTGTAAGGGCAACCTCGCGAGGCTCGAAATCAGAGTCCTGAGCAGAGGGGGAATCCTTAGTGAAACTACTACAACAGGAAGGGATGCTACAGACTCACCTGAGCAGAGGGGGAATCCTTAGAGAACAAGCCAAGGAGCCCTCTGCTCAGGTGCACTACTATATACTAGTGACCAGAGTAATGATAAAGTGACTGCATAGCGACGAATGACACAAGGGAGAAGTCAGGTGTCGCCAATGGACCTAGGTGAGTGTTGAGTAGCCCTCGAAGCTCCGGAGAGGCAGGCTTGGGACCGTGATGCCAAGGGAAGAGCCCAGGCATCCTTAGAAGGCCCAGGAAGGGCTTCGGGGGGTCCAGACTGCCTCTGGGCGTCTCCGCTTGTGACCGTGACCGTGACAGCCGGAATCGGAATCGGAATCGGAATCGATTCCGGGTGTGTGACCGTGACGTGACAGCCGGAAACGGAGAGGGGAGGTGTGGAGTGGAGAGGGAAGGAGTTGGTCTAGCCCAAGGGCCAGGGAGTATCGGAGAGGACCAATGGGAATAGCGGCCAGCCATGACCACTGGAGGGTAGCGACAGGAGGGTCACTCGGAGACGTCCCCGGACGCCTCCAGAGAGGTGGAGGTGTAAGGGTGTGCAGCCCGGGGCGCTGCAGTAGGCACGAGCCTTAACGGCAGTAGGCCTCACCCAAAGGAAGACCCGATGGACGGGGGGCCGTGGTGGCGGAGTGGGGAGTGGAGCCATGGCGAGGCTCAGCTATCCGAACGTAAGCCTGAACGCTGACGTAGGTTGGGGACACCCAAGAGGTCCAACGGGTAGAGGTTGCAGGGAGACATCGATGAGCGACAGCCCAGAGAGGCTATAAGGCCATAGGCTCGAGGTCTCAGAGGAAAGCGGTGCGTCCACATCCAGAGAGGTCTCCGATGGCATTAGTGATCCCTGATAGTGACTCCGGAGAGACTCCCAGAAAGGGGGTGGCCATGCGAGTCAGAGGCTGGGGACCACTGGATGCGGGACGTGGTGGGAGAAGTGGAGGAGGAGCGTCAGGGTGCAGGAATACAGAGACTCCGGTGGAGACACAGAGATGCGAGTGAAGACACGGAGACATGAGCGGAGACGTGGCGCTTGATGGGATTAAGTGACGGCATCAGGGTTTCCCCTGACATCCTCTTGGCGCTGGGGCTGCAGTCCCGACTGGGCCAGGGCAGGGGACGTGCTCGACGCCGCACAGATCCGGCCCGGCGCGGGCTGCTGCACGTGTCTGTTCTGTTCCAGGTGTGTGTTCTTAGGAGAAGCCTTGCACAGCCTGGCCTAAAGTCTGACAGGTTGAGTGGTATCCAATATTTTACAACACTTATAACCACCCGTTGCTGTGACACGATGCAATCAAGCATGGGACTACCCACGGAAATGGATTATATCTGCCATGGGTCTACCCACCGTGGGTACACCCACGAGGATTGAAATCCCCTCCCCAAGGTTATGCCGACCGTGGCATCAAGCCGCTTAGACACCCACAAGCGCGCCATCATCCATCACTATTGCCCCCGCCTGTCGTCCACTGCCGATGCTCGCCTGCCGGTGGCGATCTGCCCGCCCCTCGTGTTCGTCCCCTGGCTGATCCGCCCGACGCGTGCGCTCGTCACCTGCTGATTTCCCCGCCCTCCCAGGCGCGCCCGTCACATGCCCGCAATCCCCGCAATCATCTTCTGGCTCGTGATTTTCGCTCCCGCCCGCGGTCCGCCCAGCAAGCGTGTCGCGTCGCGCCGCGCGCCGCTTGTGTCCCCACTCCACGCGCCTCACGTGCACCGCCCCCCCTCCGCCCTGCGAGCGGGCCGCCTTGTCCTGCCTCCGCTTGTCGCGCGCCTCACATGCACACCTCACTGTGCTCGTGATTCCGGCTCCCGCCCGCCCTACGCCCCGCGAGCGCGTCGCGTCGCGCGCGCCTTGTCCTGCCTCCGCTTGGCACGCGCCACACGTGCACGCCTCGCTGTGCTCGTGATTTCAGCTCACGTCCGCCCTCGTGATTTTCGCTCCTGCCCGCTGTCCGCCCATCTGCCTTGCTCGCTTGCCCCCGTACTCCCCCTCCCCCCGCGCCCCCACCTATCCTCGCTCGCCGCAGCCTACACTCACCATGGCCTGCCCCCTCTGTCTTCATTCACCATCCATGCGCTGATTATCAGTTGGCCAGACAACGACCAATGATCATCAATCACATGCGATAAGCAACGCCATGGCCTGGTCTGCGCGCTGCGCTGCTCACTCTGTGTGCTGGACTTCACACAGCGATGGGGCCCATAATGAAAAGTACTCAATAATTTTCTGTAAATTAAAAACAGCAAAAGAGAATTACAGACCTTCATCATCGTTTTCATCTTCATTACCAATTTCAATTTGCTCATCAGCCCCGTCCAGTAAATCCCGGACCAATCCGCTCATTGCCCCCTCGAGATTCTTACTCCACTCACATGGTAAAACGCTTCACCCAGTCGACGGTGCAAATCGACCTGTCGCCAAGCATACGCCTGTAAACCCGATCGGACCTCCGGAGAAACCCCAGGCTCGTCGTTTCGCCCATCGGCCCGGTCCTTCCACTGATCTTGTTCCCAGCGAAGGGATCGAATAACGCGTTTCATTTCCTCCCGCACCAGCTTGACTTCCTCGCGCCATCGGTCGCGGCGAGCCTTGGCTTTGGACCAATCAACGCGGACAGCTACAAGAGGGGATGAGAATGTACCAACAGAATATCAATCACCTACAATCATGCAAATCCGACGCCTTTGCTCCATCGGTGGTCCAGATCCACGACACCGTCTGATTTGCTGGAGTGTCTGCCGGCTGATTACGTGAAGTCCGTGACGAATCCGCAGTCGCAAGCCTTCGGAGTGAGGCAACATCGTTTTCGGCGCCTGGCCGACCATTGATATCAGAGTCGAGAAGGGGCCGATACTGAGGGGCCATCGCTGTGTCCTGGAGTGCCACGAGGGCTGCCTGCGCGTCCCGGTACTTTGCTGCAGCTTTGGCAATCGTCTCCCCGACACGGCTGATCAAAGATGCCGACCGTGTTGCGGCTCGCTGCCCGACGGAGTTTTCGTTCCGCCAGTAAATCAGATGGAGCGGGTGTGGCGCGGAGCGAGCGGGCGTCGCGTCGCGACGAGCTTCGGCGCAAGTGAGAGGGGCGGGTACTGGTGTGGCTTGGCGGGCGCGATGAGGCAGCGGGCAGAGCCGCCGAGGTTTAGCTTGGCGGCAGAGGAGCGATCAGCGGGCACACGGGCAGCATCGGGTGCAATCCCGAGAGGACCCGCCCATTCGGTCGCGCGCCATCAGAAGACAGCGATGCCGCCCCCTGATGGTCATTCGGACCATTATTGATGGTGGTGGGCAGGCTGCCGAGCTGCCGGGCAGGCGCAGTATAGGGCTGGAAGGGCCATGGGTGTACCCACGGTGGGTAGACCCATGGATGATACAATCAGTATCCGTGGCTACAGCCAGGGTCTGATTGTATCAGACTACAGCTACGGCTCTTATAACTAGGTATTGTCTGAAGAGGAGAGACTTTGGACTATGAACAAATAAGCGCAGCACAGACATATGCAATACCAACAGTGTACAGGAATAACCCTGCGCAGTGGCGGACCCAGGCTCCATGCTGTGCAGCAGCAGTCACACACATCCGAGGGAGCTAGGCTGGACTTGGCTGACAAGAATGTTTTGCGCTGACTGATTTTCGGCACCCACTGGAAAATACTGGAGAAGCTCTCGATGACAACTACCGAATTTAGCTTGTATTCATTCTACAGTATGGACCCAAAGGTCAGCCTGTAATGTAAGGAATCCCACACTGACAAGCACCTGAATGCCTGCTCAACACGGGCCAAAGGCATACCATACCTGTTTATGCATATCATGTTTTCTTCGGTGGTGTGGCGTTCCTCATGGGACGGAGGTGGATGCATGCTCGGTGGGAAAATAGAATCATGCCTGTTGCGGAGCTGGAGTCGTATGAGTATCTCGGGTAAACGTGCGTGCCTATGGCGTGGAGGACAAATACTCAATAAACAGAGTCTGCAGTGTCCGTACCGATGTTGATGCGATCAGCCTGGAATGCAGAAACCCCGGTATGACGAGCAGCACTGCGGGCCGGACGCCTGTTGTACCTCTGTGCAGATATGGTGCTTTTTTGGCATCGTGGATAGCTATCGCAGCGGGGTGGCGCACACGCATAATGATACCTGGGGAGAGGTTCCGAAACCGCGAGTGTGGATGCCCGTGGACCAGCCGTGGACGGGTACGCGATAAACAGAATTCTGCACTGGGGATCTCTTCTGATACAGGGCAAGACACGCGTGTTCGTTCTTTCTCTCCGTCCCTACGTATACGTACTACGTGTCTACCTCTTCGCCATCACCTGCCTACCCCCTCTTCGCCCCGGCGGCCGCGGCCCGCGGCGTCGCCGCCGGCTCGTCGTCCGCGTCCTCGTCGTCCGACGCGGGCGCGAGCATCGTCTCCGCGAAGCTGAACGACGGCGCGGGCGAGCGCGCCTCCTCCTCTTGGCGCTGCTGTTGGGGCTGCAGGCCGGCCCCGGCGGGGGACGTGCTCGACGCCGCGCGCACCCGGCCCGGCGCGGGCGCGGGGTGCACCGCTGGAGGCGACGCGGCGAGCTGCCGGCGCAGGTCGTGCGAGCGCGCGCCGCTGCGGTGCGCGTACGCGCCGGCGCCGTTGGCGTTGGTGGTGCGTGCGCCGGCGCTGAGCGGCGACGCGTCGGCCCACTGCCAGCGCTGCCCGGGAGCGCCAGTTGCGCGGGGGATCGTGATCCGGGGGGCGGTGGGGAGGGCCACCTTGGTGCGGAGCGGCGAGAGGGCGGCGGGCGGGAACTGCGGCGGGCCGGGGACGGCGGGGAACTGCGCGTGCGGCGGAAGCCCCGCGTCGGCGGGGTACGCCGGCCCGGCAGCGGCGGAGAGCTCGGGCGTGGGGGTGCCGCGGCGGGACGCGTTCGGCGGCGACGGCGACGCGGACGCGGGCGCGGGCGTGTAGCCGGCGGGCAGCTGCGAGCGGCGCTTCGGCGGCGGGGCGGGCGCGAGCGTGACCGTGCTGCCGCGCCGGCTCGGGGTGGGCGTCGGCCCGCGGCTCGTCGCGGCGCCGGCGCTCTCGGTGGACCGCTTGACCTTGTGCCCCGCGGCGGCGGTGCGCGGCCCGTCGTAGCTGTAGAACGACGCGTAGCCGTCGTCCCTCGTCGTGGACGGCGTGGCGGCCTCGGCCTCGGGCGAGAACGTCTCCGCGTGGAGGTAGACGAGCGTGCCGGCCTTGCTGGAGCTGGAGCCGGAGGAGGTGCTGCCGGCGGAGCGCGGCTTCTCGGAGAAGCTGAGCGTGCGCGGCGCGGTCTCGGTGTCGGCGGGGGCCGCGCGCGGGCGCGCGTTGAGCCTGCCATCGTCAGCACACGTAGACGAAGAAGAGAGGGTAGTACGTACAACGCCAGGAGCGAGCACACGTAGAGCATCGGGCGGGGAAACGCCGCCGCGAAGCGGAGCGCCGTCTTCTACTACGCCATCAGCTCTACACCCCTTACTCAACACAGGCACGCACCGGAGACGCCACGCCCAGCACCAGATCGAGCACCGCCATGAGGGCCGTCGGCGCGCCGGCCTGGACGGCGACGGCGGCATACCCAGCATGGGGGGTGCGCGTGAGGAGCGCGTGCGCGAGCGCGCCGGCGAGCAGGACGTCGCATGCCGCGCCCGCGCCGAGCCACACCGCCGCGGGGACGCGCGTGGCGGCGGCGGCGAGGTCGGCGAAAAGGGAGGCGTGGAGGAGGGACGCGCCGAACGCGAGGCCCGCGCCTGTGTTGCCCGGTAGTGTCAGTCTTGTTGTGTAGAGGAAGGCGGGGCGACGCACCGGCAGCCACGAGCGAGAGCAGCGCGATGCCCGCGGGGGCGACGCGCGCCTTGGTGAGCGCGTGCACCCGCGCGGCGGCGAAGAGCTGCACCGGGAGGGCGATGAGCACGGCGAGGAGCGGCGTGCCGGGGAGGACTGCGGGCGTCAGCCGGGGTCATGCACTCCCATGGCCGTGGGGGACGTACGTGTAGGAATCTGGGTCGCCGCCGCGATCGTCCCTGCGCCTCTTCAGCACCTTCTTTTCTTTCGACGGGAACACGAAAGACAAGACGCACCGTACCGCGCCACGAGCGGCTCGTACACGCTCCCCGCCTCGACCACCAGCGCCGCCGCCGCCGCGGCCAGCAGGTACACCACCAGCGCCGTCGTCCCGCGCGCACCGGGGGCGGCGGCGGAGCGGAGGAAGAACGTGAGCGCCTGCGCCGCGAGCACGCCGAAGAGGAGCACCGCAAAGAGCGCGCCGAGGAGCAGGGGGCCGAACCTGGGCCCGTCAGCACCATGCCTGGGAGGAGGGAGGGGGCGTACAGGAGGTCGGGCCCAGTCATCTCTACGACCAAACAAAGAAGAGGAAAGAAACGAAAAAGAAGATAAAAAGTCGTCGACCCGCAACACCAGCGCACCGGGCGCACGAATTCGGGAACGGGGGGAGGGAGGGGGGAGAAGGCAAGGGCCGCGCAGGCCACGCGGCGACACGACGGTGTGGGCACGCGCTTGGCGCGCGTCGCATCGCAGGCGATGGGCATGGGAAGATTGATGTGATATGTGATACATGATACGTGTCGCGACGACCGCCATCTGGAGATCGCCCGCTGGCTGATGGCCGATGCCGATGCACGCGGTCTGGACCCGACGTCCCGTATGTCATTGCACACACCTTGCACACACCACCCATCTGCGGGCGGCGCGTTCGACCCCCCGCCGCGTCCCGTATAAGAGAAGTTGAGATAGGCACCACGTCTTTTTTTTTTTTGCCATGGCCGCCCTCCGCCCTTTTGCGCTCATTCCGGTGCACACGACCGCCTCTCCTCTCCTGCCTCTCCCGAAACAAATTGATTAAAGCCAAGAAAAAGGCTCCCAGCTCGACACCAGAAAAAAAAAAAAGTGGGGAAGAACATACTCCTATCAGCCTAAACCCGGCCCGGCAGCGAACCGGGCCCGGCCAGTCCCTGCTCCCCATTCCCTGTTCGTTCCCCATACCCCTAGCAGCGCTCATACAGCCCCGGCCGTTCACCCCCAGCTGCATATACAGAAGTGTCGGCAGTATTTTTGCACCGGCTGACCCGCAAGCCGTCCCTGACGCCAGACTACAGTCACCAGATCTGTTGCAACAACCAAAAATGGAATAAAAATGGGGGGGGCAACGAACGGCTGTACCGGTACGTGCTGTGGCCCGGCCGCGAACCGCGCTCCCCACACAGCGCTCCAAGTGGTGTGTCCGACGGCACCCCAGGCCGGGACGGCTCGCAGTGTTCACTTGAATGTGTACTGTTGCCCCAAATATACCATGAGGCTTTGCAGTTTTTTTTTTGCACTAAATGAATTATGTCGCATCCCAGACACCGTCCATCTCCTGGCCCCCGACCTATGCTGCACCTACATGAATGAAAAAAGGGCAGCGAGCAGGGCGAAGCAGGCGATACCAACATTGCGCAGGCAGAATGACCCTGCCCAGTGGCGAACCACGCTCCCTGCCATGCGGTACCGCAGCGGCCACACGACCCAGGGAGCAAGGCTAGACACAAGAACCAGAAGCGTGCTGATACCACACGGGACAGGAAGTCCGCGCAGTGCAATCTCAGTACTCACAGGCCACCATTAAACAAATGCCAGTTGAGACCAAATCCATACGGCCACGGCACAATCCGCAACACAACCCAGACACCGGCCCATGCACCCAAGTAGCCAAAACAGGGCGGCAAGGACAAGGGCAATAGATGCTAACCATTGCACAGGCTGAACAACCCTGCGGAGTGGCGACCCAAGCTCTCTCCCGTTAGTGCATATGGCAAATGGATTTTGCTATTGAAGTGCCATTCCGCCATGGCAAATGCCAATCGCCAAGTTCCATCGCCAAACGGCGAATAACACGTGATTTCCCGATTAGGTAGTGAAATAAATTACAAAATATCAGAGATTTGCCACTTCTGCGGGCCTCCAGCGGCCCCATTGCGCACCACATTCACCTTTTGAACCTCCTCGCGAGGCACAACACTATCTAGTGCTGCCTTGATCAAGTCGAAGCTGTAAATCTCGCCGCCCATCAAAGATAACGTGGCAGCTTTCTTCTTTTTCTTGGCTGCGACAGCAGTGACGGTCAGGTGCTCTGGCATCTCATCCTCAGAGTCTGATTGCTCGTCACACTGCTCCTTCTCTGCTTCCGTTTCAGCCTCTGCTGCTAGTGTTGTGTCCAACTCCTCGAACAGCCCGTCAACACCACACTCCCCTAAGCAACTTGATATTAGCGTTGTCCTCCTGGGCTTGTGACATCGGTCTGTCGAAGGTGCCATCCAGATCGCCTTGCACAGCAGATTTCTTGGGTTTCTTGTTGGGCGGCTTGCCCGTCTCAGGGTCCCGGACAACGACGAGTGCGCCAGAGTGTTCACCATCCTGCTCCTCGTCCTCGGTAGCGCGCTTTTGGCCAGCCCTCTTGTCCCTCATCAGTATATGGGCATCGGTGCGAGCTGCTGCTGGTGCGTCTGGGCATCGTTCAATTGATGCTATATGCTCTGCAAGCCGGTTCTCGCGATGCTCAAGCTCGCTGCCACAGTGGTTGCATAGAAAGAACTTTCGTTTTGAGTGGTTGGTCTGTGCCCGTGACTCCTTGTAATTGTTGGTATAGAAAGAATTGAGTTTGCGTCCTCCGCGGTTCTGCGTTGCCATGATGCCAGATTGGAACAGGCCGGAACACCAGGATCACAGAATTTAAAGGTCAACAGGCAGTCACGGCATGCGGAACAGCAAAAAATACATTGTTCATTGATTTAGGAAGTACAAGTTACATTGTTCCATTGGATCATTGTCCACTGATCCTGGCGATTGCCTGGCGATTCGCCACTCCTCAAGTTTACCCCTCAGTATTGCCATGTTTTGCCACCAATTGCCAGGGTGGCACGGCGATAGCTTTCGCCAAAGCCAGCAGCACTATCTCCCGTGCAGCAGCAGCGGCCACATGTGCACATTCCAGGGTGCAAGACTGGAGACAGGGATCGCAATCATACACTGCATATACCTCGTGAGATGTGCCAGCAGTATTTTTGCACCGGCTGACTTACGTAGCCATCCCTGACACCAGACCACATTGACCAGATCTGTTGCAACAAACAAAAAAGGGAAAAAAAAAAAAGAGGCAACGAACGACTGTACTGGTAAGTGCTGTGGCCCGGCCGCGAACTGAGCTCACCCACACAGCACTCCAAGACAGTGTCCAACGGCAACCCTAGGCTGGGATGGCTCGCAGTTTTGACTTGAACGTGTACTGTTGCTTTTAAATAGATGAATAAAAAATATAAAGAAAAAACTGTTGCACAGGCCCTGCCTGACATACAAAAGGACTTTACCACCCTTTTGACCCTGCGTCCACATACATACCCACGGCCAAATCCCTGCAGGGAACACAGTGCCAACTACAGATCAGTCTCTCTCACCCCAAAAAGGCAGAAAAAAGATGGACAAAGAGGGTATCATCATAGGTGATATAGGCTCGGCCCCATAGCAAACTAGGCCGAGGGAGGGAGGGGGGAGAAGGCAAGGGCCGCGCAGCCCATGCGGCGACATGCGCTTGGCGTGTACCTGACGCCGGATCGCGGGCCAGCCATGTTGTGGGAAGATCGATGTGATACTTGATGCGTGATGTGATGCACGTCGCGAGGGCGGCCATCTGGAGATCACCCGATGGGCGATGGCTGATGCACACGGTCTGGGCTCACGGCTCGAAACTGAGGGCCGAGTGCACCAACGCAGCGCTGCGGCGCATTCAACCCCCCGCCGCCCACTATACAAAATGACGGTTACTCCCCCTCTTTTTTTCCCCAGCTTCTGCTTCCGCACATCCACAGCCACCTCTCCTCTCCTCCCCCCTCCCCCAAAAACAATACAACCAAGGAAACAGTGCAAACTCTCAGGGGCCAGATTGACACCAGCAAAAAAAAAAGAAAAATGGTACATAACAAAACAACATTAAAAATCTCTGCTATAGATATAGGCCTGGCCAGGAAATGAACCGGGCCAGGCTTCGTGCCCTGCTCTGTGCTGTATCTACCGCCCAGTGCCCACCACCTTCCCCAGCATCACTCATATAGCACTGGGCGCTCAATCCTGGCTGTATATATATCACATCACGAGAAGTGGTTTGCAATCTTTGCACTGGCTGACTTATATTGCTGTCCCTCTCTCCTGGTGCCACCAGCCCAGGCTGCACCCAAACAAACACCGTCCCATGCAATGACTCAAGACTGGCATCACGTCTTGTCGGGGCGCATGACCATCGCTCCGCTCCCGCCCCTCTGCATAATAAAACCAAGAAAAATGTGCAAACTCCCAGATAGCCAGCAGCAAGAAAAGGCAGACAAAGAATGCCATGACACACAGATACAGGGCTGACCGGCCTCGCAGCGAACCGAGCCCTCCCACAGCCCACCCCAGCAGTGTGTGTGCATATAGCCCCAGGTGTTCACCCCCAGCTGTATATTGGGAGCCATGAGATTGTGCAGCTTTTGCACTGACTGCTTTATATCACATCTGCAACACAGCCCAGACACTATTGCATCTCCTGACCCCCCAGCCCAGCCCTCACTACACCTGACCAAATGAAAATAAAATAAAAAGCAGAGCAAGACCAGACAGAATGACCATACGCCATGGTGAACCAAGCTCCATGGCATTTAGCATGGCAGCAGTTACACGTTCCAGGGGGCAAGACTAGACACTAGAAACATAATAATGCTCATATTATAGCAGTACGTGCAGTACAATCTCACAGGCCAACAAATGGTCATCTTCATTGATTGGAAAACAGAGCTGAAAATGTCATGTTGGTGGACGAGAAATCTGGGGAGAAAAACAGCTTAATGTGATATGATGCACGTTGCAAGGGCGGCCATCGGGAGATCACCCATCGCCCAATGGTGATGGCTGATACACGCAGTCTGTGCTCACTGAGGGCCGCACACAGTACACCCACGACCCCCCACCACCCCCATGTAAGAACTTGAGACTGGCATTACATCTTTCTGCCACCCTTCTGAGCCCATTGACTGCCTCTCCTTTCCTGCCCCAGCCCCCCCACAAAAAGATAAAATAAAACCAAGAAAAGGTGCACACTGCACACTTCCCAATACCTAGCAGAAAAGAAAAAGTGGACAAGAAGTGCCATGGCGCATAGATATGGGCCTGGCTAGCCTTGCAATGAACCGGGCCAAGCTCTCCCACAGCCTACCCAAGCCGAGTGCTGACATAGCACTGGGTGGGTGTTCAACCCCAGCTATATATTGGGAGCTACGAGAGTTTACAGCTTTTGCCCTGGCTGCCTTCAAGCTATGCCAAGTACCTCCCCAAAACTGTCCCCTCTCTCCTAACCCCACTGCCCATGCTGCACCTGCATTAATGAAGAGGAAAAATGATAATATCAATCTTTATATAACTGGTAAGAAAACCCAGGCTATATGCCATGCAGCAGCAGCCGCACATACCAGAGAACGACACTGGATACAGAAATCACCACTATGCAGATGTGTTTGATCCCTAT